AGAGGACGCAGTTCGAAGTTCCACGAAAGGGAACGTCTCGGGTTACTTATGTAACCATGGTTCCCTGAGGGGAACGAGACACTGCGTCCTCTAGCTTTTTGTGCCATGCTGCGGACACAAGCTTCAGACGAAGAAGTGATGATATGCGCTACCGGCGCCTATTTTGTACTAGTCGCGACGGTAGTGACGTCATGGCTGTCGCCGGCCAAACAAGTTGGTGTTTTTTCAATGTAGGCTTCAGACACGGGTCACGACGAGGCGTTCCCCATAGCGACCCCTAGAGGACGCAGTGTCTCGTTCCCCTCAGGGAACCATGGTTACATAAGTAACCCGAGACGATCACTCCGCTTGCAGCATTTCTTATAGCAAGTGTCATGGCGGATGCCCAAATACACTATAATTTTATAATTTATACTGTTTTTAGTGTCATGGAATGTAGTTTTAAGAGTTTCTTAGGTGAGAATGTACTTGTTTAGACTTCAAATATGTGGTTTGTTTATAAAGATAATAAAGATAACGTCTATTTGATCTTAAGAATGAATGCTGTATCAGATGCAGGTAATCACACTCACTCAGGCCATCTCTCTCTCATAATACAGTGAGCTTTTAATACAGTAATACAATAAGATTTCAATGTAGCAACTCAATGTTACTTAATTTAGGCCTGTGGCCTTGTGCTTACGGTCGAATCACAGTCATGCTGATATACAGCCATATCACATGGCTACTTGTGTGATATTGCTCATATATTTATTAGATATTATGTTTAATTTCTTCTCACCTATAATAATTAGTCAATATTTATAAACCCCAAAAAACAGTCCCTTCACTGACCCTTAGAATTAAACAGGCCTTTACTGCTATTGTACCAAAGACTATATGTAAATGAGTTTTATGTGATAGACTAATCAGTCTGCATGTGAAATGAATCACTCTTACAAAAAGTAGGCCTTTTCCATGATAAAGGCCCCTTTAACTAATGATCTGTTAAGTGTAATCATTTCTGGAAATGTTATTAATAAAAGTAATTATACAGTGTTATCAAACCTTGTATTCTGTCTTCTAAAGACACATGGTGGCATATATAAAATTACACAATTTGCATAATCAAGCATAATCACATGATACTTGTCAAGATATTTTTTTACACAAATTATTCATCTACTCATAATTACATAACATGCTTGAGTCTGGACTCCTCACAGCATTCAGGCTGGCCATTATTACTTAATAGCACTTAATGACTAGCCCATGTAGCTTCAGAAATTATACAACAGACTCCAAACAACATTTGCAATGAGATGAAGTTTAGATCAAAAGAAATTAAAACGATCCTTGCATGAATAAACATCTCCTGATTCAAAACATACTGTAAGTACTACTCATTGCTTTATGTGTCAGATCTTAATGAGGAAGAAAATTATAGATTGCACCTGAAATCAGCGTTTTTGAGGGCAAAACATTTTTAGTCAGAGAGAGAGCAGGTTTTTCTCAATTTATCTGAAAGGTGTTTCTAATGGGACTTCCCGGCCATATTACACCCTGCACCAGTAATCTTCACCTCCACTCCAACACATTTCTCACTGTCCTCTTCCAGCCCTGCAAGATCAATCTACTTGGGTGTTTTTTTTTCTTGGTTCTGTAATACCACAGGGTTTTACACCACTGGGCGACACTAGCTGAGATCAACTCTCATATGTAGCATGCACTGTAGATACAGAGAGCAGCTGCACGCTTGCTCTGGACTGCCTGAACATTCAGATGCATCATGGGTAGATGTGAATGAGGCACTGAGATCAGTAGATTCTTTAGCACTGCCAGTTCGGAGACGGATTCACTTAAAAATTGTGCCACTGAGCAAATACAGTGATCCAAGAAGTATCTTATTCACCCTTAAAATTATTTGATTTCAGAGCTATATCACTTTTCTGAGCCACTTTTGACACAAATGTCTTTTAATCAAGTGATGTCAAGGTGATTTTTATTGGATGTAAGGAGCTGAATTCAGAATACCACATTTGCATACTACTCATACTATTTCTGCCACTTAAGAGTGCATCAGTGGGACTCCGGAAACAAAAATCCCATTCATATTGTCCAAAGGAGAGCTTATTTTTAACAACACCTTAAAATAAACCTCTAAAGACAGACCTACTGCGAGCAATGAGGTTGTTAATCGATGGTAAATGCTTTTTTTTAACAACAGAATTTCTGGTGGAAAAACTACATTACCCATGATTTTGCTGAGAAATTGCCACCAAACAGAGAATCAAGAGAAGCAAATCATGCCAAAAGAACTCTTTAGCGTCCACCCACTTTCATGAAGTGATACGAATGACTCGAGCTAGTCTCCCTATGCTCGCAAAAAATGTAAATATTTGTGTGTAATATATGCAGATTTTGTGGTAAATGGGTACAAATTGACACTTGTATTCATATATATATATATATATATATATATATATATATATATACATATACATATACATATAGATAGATAGATAGTGTTGTATCATTGTATTTTGGCCCAATGTTTGTATATGATTCACATCACAGCTGGTTGGTTTGGTTCATGGCTTATAACTCTTTAATCCCCCCCCCTAAATTCCTATTGGAAAACTTACTGGAAAAAATACCTCTGGAACCAAGGCTTCTGAAAAAGTGGGTGGGCACTAGGGTTCTGTTCCCAGGTCAACCTAAGTTACTCACAAATTCACACAGGTGTCCTAGCAAAGTGTAGATCATCACCTTAACCACTGTTTGACAACCAGTATGTGTTCAAAAATGTAAAACCTAACAAACCTATTTTGTGAAATGTTTTCATATATTCCTTTACAATAAATAGCCCTTGGTTTATCTTACTGTTCTCTGAAAGCTCCACCACATAATGCAATAGGGGGCTGTTTCCATCGAAGGGTCTCATCCAGGACAGATCCACGCTGCGGCTGTCGTTGGCGTTCAGGCTGGCCTGTAGGTTTCGAGGCGAGTGTGGCAGCTCTCTGAGAACAGAAGACAGCAAATACTCAAAATAAGGGCTGCATAAACAAAGCTAGCATATAGGCTCTATATAGAAAGTGATGTAATTTTGGGGTTACTAAACGTAATAGTTACTAGATTTCTTGCCAGATGGAAATCAAACACAGAGTATTACAGAAGCACTACCAGGCGTTCATTGTGGTTTGGGTCTGTTGATGATCATCTATGGGACTATCTCTCCCAGTCGGCCTCCTTGGCCCATTTTCAGATCTTCTCATATATTCACTACTACTGCCGGTGTTCTGACAATTTGTGCTACCCTGTCAGATTTTGCTACCTCCCATTAAAACAGATGGTAGCATAATTCGACAGCGAAAAATGCTACCTATCAGATTTTGCTTCCAGCATGATAATAATATGGTGTGAGGCAGTGGCGTAGTGAGTCAGCCTCGGGCAAAAGATTGGTACGGGCCCCCCCAAACGTTATGGGCTCCAACTCGGTTAACTTAACTATTGTTGATTTTTCTGAAGTAAATAACGTTACATGAATCGTGACTATCCACAAGCTGTTTTATTTACTGTATAGGCTAATGCTTGGAAATTATGTTTAAAGTTTTAAAGTTTTGCAAGCCACTCAATAATCGCAGCTTTGTGCTTTGTTACTACAAAGTCTCAGCCTTCTGTCAATTTTATGATAAAATACAAACAATAAACATATTTTTACTCTCTTTAATTTGTAGTGAGATAATTCGCCTCAGTTCAAGCTGCATATGAATCAATTATATTTTCCTCTTTAATATTTGCAGCACGAAATATACATGAATATTTGAATGCATGTTGAAAAAAATCAGAACAATTTAATACAAACGAATGTCTCATGTATCGATCAATCAGAGTTTTAAAAAAAAGTCAAAAGAATGACGGATGCCACAGACTTTTTTTTAGTAGGCCTATAGGTGGAATTGTCACATTAACTTCATGCAACATGATTTTATTATCGTAATTTTGACTTTATTCTTAAAATATTATGACGTTACTCTTATTTATTTAGTTATTTTTCAATGTGGCACAAAAATGCTGCCATATAGAATACTGAATGCAAACACAATTTTGGCACAGCGGCCCAAAAAACAAACAAATAAATAAATAAAAAACAAAAAAAGTAAAAAATAGTTAGGTGATATTTGAATTATTTGTTAATAAATTAATGTTTTCTGAGTCAATGTTGCAAAAATGAATTTGACGAACCTGACTCGCCATCTCCTCATTGGACGTTTTGTTGATATTGTGAGTGCACACAAATACAAGTAGACCCTTTGCAGTTCCGAATGATGTATACTCCTACCTTTATGAGCAAAAATGATGGCGTATTTTTAAGTTTCCACTGTTATAAAAAAAAAATGCAAGTGATCGCGCTGGAGCCTCCATGTCCTGCAAAGCGCGCTTTAGCTTCCACTCTCCGCACAAACGATTGGGTATGCGCCTAACAGCGCTCATTAATCTAGGTTAAATGTTTAAATTAATACTGTGAAATGCATGAAGTGTTTTATGTCGGTTTATTTTAGGCAAGTCATGTTGGTTTGAGAACTCACTGCTGCCGCTGCCGCTTGGTCGTTCCTTTAAAAAACTAAAACTTTAACAAATTTAACAAACATAGAATGTTCCAAACATATTTCTAAATTAACTTAATAAAGAAACAAAAAGAAATATGACCACTTTGCCATTAAAAATCTAAAAAGTTTAATAGCTGTGTAATGGGGAAGTGAGAGAGAAAAAAAGACACGGTATCCAGTCGGACTCGAGCCGAGAATTCTCATAAGCTGTTGGACAAGGGCCGGGCCCATGCAGGACTCTATTCGTTCCCTCGTTTCAATTAAAATTTCCCCCCAGCTTGGTGGGCCCCCAAACTGCCCGCCCATATGCACCTGCATACCCTGCATACCCAGACGCTACGCCACCGGTGTGAAGCTTTATTAACATGTACACCTACCCTCAAACCTAAACCTACCCTTACAGTAAGATAAATACAGTGTTGGTAGCATAATCTGATAGGTAACATTATTTGTTAGAACACCGGCACCTCCAGCTTCAAAAAGACTCCAAATTCAGCCCGAATCTCACAGCCAGAGCAAGGCAGGCATCCATTTGTGTTTGTTTTGATTTTCTTCTTCACACTCATTTTTTTTATTTTATTGATTACATTATTAATCATTTCAGGGAAGGATAGGCTTCCTGCTGAGACCAGGCACCGAGCACCAACAGTTGCGCTTGGGAAGTTTGTTTTCTCCTCTAAATTAAACCCATGGAGAGAACCGGCAACGCTTAAGATTTCATCACTTTTTTGTGTTCTTAAGAAGGAAGATTATGTCGGTTCTACAGGTGTAAAAAATACTTTTTCACATGGTGTTAACAAAAGACGATGGTAACAAAATGTTAAAAAGCAGTGATTTCACAATAATTAATAAAATATCTCTAGAAAATAGCTCTAATAAAAAAACATTCTCTAAAACAAGTCTATTTTGGGTGAACTATTCTATGTCTTGCTTTTCATGTAAATGTATATGTTTGACCATTAAGATATTGTCCTTCACAGGTACTATTAGAAAACAAGACAAATACAATAAGATACAATTTCTGCATTTTTAACATTGAAATAATAGACTACACTGGCAAAAAAAATATGAAAAAGACCTCAGAACTAATGATTTGTTCAGCTTGTTGGATCATCAGTGTTTAGTTATAATGGCGTGGGCTGTGATCGCTGAAGGTGGAAAAAGACAACGCATGGGTGACTTCAGCCACTGGGGAAAGTCTTGCTGACAACATGCCCGATTCCACACAACCATCTGATACCACCACGGCATCTTCTCCAGCTTAATGAGGAGCCAGAAAACCCACAAACAGATAATGAGTCTTAGTTCCACACAACATTAGCCTCATGAAATCTGCATAAAGTACACACACCCGCTGGTTACTGCCGTCTTCCAGCGGTTTATTTCTGGAGAGCTTCTGAGGGGATTTTATTCCCTCATCATATTGTGATACAGAGTCATAAGCAAAGGCTTTAGGTGTTAAAATGTTTACGCTGCCAAGATTTGGCTTTTATTTCGGGTTTAAGGATTCGACTGGCAGACACAGATCAGAAATAGTTTTAAATAGCCAGGATGAAGAAATCTACCCACTCAGAGACTGGTCGAAAGGTCAAAAGCTTTTTAGGAGACGGTCAGGACATTTTCTTTCTGGATGGACAGTTAAAAAAAGCACTTATAAATACTAGCAAACTAGCTACTTTAAAAACTAGGATTTCAAAGTCAGGGTTTAAAAGCAAAGAACAGAGGAAAAACTTATTTTGATTAAATAAATGCTTTTAAAAGTTACAATTAGCGGGCCGCTGATGAATATGAAAATGGCATATAAGCAGTTGGAATCCAGATGGAAAGGTTACGCTGAAAAAGGTTACTGAGGAAAGGTCAGTCTACACGCTCCTGCTGAGAGCAGCAATCCACTCAGATATTGTATGCAGATGCTGCAGTGGGTGAGCAAACAGAACGAGGAAGAAAGATAAAGAGAAAAAGCATACCGTGCAATTAAAGTACAGTGTTAAAAGGAGCTTTTTGTACTGACAAATCATATAACAGCACACTAAATTACATGTACACAAAATGTAAAGCTCCATTCAGTGTGTTAGGTGTGCACAGCGCGCACATAGAACCATGTCTCAGGCAACGCGCGAGAGCACTGAATTGAGTTTCTTTCCGCTTCTCTTTGCGCTTGAATGGACAAATACATACAAAAGTATGTCAAAATACCGTCTCGTTGGTGAGAATCTTCGAAAACAGTTTGTTATGTCTTAAATAAATGTAAATAGCTGAGAAAGAAATCGGATGTGCATTAGGGGTGGGACAATAAATCAATGTGCCGATTTATTGCGATATTTCCGGCCGTGAGACGTTATCGATACTCTGGCACCAAGTATCGATACTTTTTTAAACATACAAAAGGTCTAAATTCATACCTACACTGTGGCCGTTTACCACTTTGGCTTACCGGAGCGGCAGTACCTCCAGACTTCTTGTGGTGGCGCTTCCCAGATTGCGGATGGTCAGATGAACAGAAATTGTAATTCACAGCGAAGAAGAAATATGAGCATAATGGTAGACCAATAACAAATCAGAGATGCACCGGCGTCTTATGTTTATGTAGAACTAAAAATCTGCCCCGGAACAGCTATCAGCGTGGACTGTAGGCATCGATCACGTTATCATTGCAGAGCGCATACTGAGTCCATGAGTAGCCTAACCTCTCCGCTCGGATCGCAAGTGGATTTCCGTCACTATATGTGCGAGAGAGAGCGGCGCCGGCGCATCCAGTTTTATGTCAACAAAACTGGATGCTCTCTCTCTCTCTCAGATATTACAAGTGCGCATTACGCAGTGTGGGCACCGACAGGCAGAAACATAAATCTGCACCTATGGCATTGATGACGAAACTAAACCTTGTCAGAGCCGTAATGCGGCGCAGAAGTGTTCAGTGTGTGTGCTTGCCGCGCGTCTACATTTGAAATAACGAACTTGAGCGCGCAAAAGACGCGGTGTGAACGGCTATTTTTTCCCTGCATGTCATGTGTGCGGGGCTCCATTTTTATGATGACAGGAGAGGAAAGGTTGAGAAAACACTCCAGGTAAATTTTGAAATGTACCAAGTTTATATATATATATATATAGCCTATATCAATTGATAAGGAGTTAAATGTGTTGGTTGAAAGGTTGAGAAAACACTCCAGGTAAATATTGAAATATACCAAGTTTATATATATATATATATAGGCTATATCAATTGATAAGGAGTTAAATGTGTTGGTTTACACACAAAGAAATGTGTAAGCTTTTAAAGTCCAAGAAATGACTAATTTGATTGGAAAATGATTAATTTACTTAACATGTTAAATTTGATTTACAGAACTTTTTGTGCTGTTTTCTATCAGTTTGGACTTGAATAAAGAGAGAAAACTTGCACTTAACCTTCTCACAGGCATTTTGATTTCATAGTTAGATAGATATCCTGATGCATCGTTATGGGATTGTCTAGCAATATATCGATTATCGCAGAATCGCTGTATTCGTGATATTATTGTATCGTGAGCCATGTATCGTGATTTGTATCGTATCGTGAGGTACCCTGCAATTCCCACCCCTAATGTGCATCAGTATATTGGATCAGTGCATGGTGTCTTAAAGTGACTGCGCCTAATATACCAACTGTTGTCTTAATGTTAATTAAAAAAAAAGAAAAGAAAAAGAAAATCACTCACCGCTCTTGACTGAAACAACTTTTGTAGCTTTAACAAAGATTATATTTAATTTATACAGTGAAGAAAATGCAATGCTATTTTACATTTGATTATTTAATTTCTGTACTTGAACACCTACAAACCTAAAGCATTGTTTAATTTGTATCTTTGTTCATTTGTTCTTATTTACTGACTTTTCACTTGTCTTTAATACGGTTTGAGCTTTATATTTGTTAGTAGTTTTTGCTGTGGTATCAAAATAGGAATCATGATGAATTGTAAAAAATTAACTGGTATATTCAGGGGCGCGGGAAGATGTTTTCAGTTGGGGGTGCTTTGTGTGTCCGTGTTGGGTGAAAGGGAGGCTGACAACTCCACAAAGCACTACAAGTGCATCGATATGAACACTCGTTTAAGTGGCATACACACTGGGAAATTTGACTGCATATCACATTTTTGAAATTATCGATAGTAGCTGATCAATCTCGGGGGTTGGGCTGGGTCCGCTAGGCTTACTTTTCTCCGTGCTCGTGCTGGAGCTGGTTCACTTATGTCGGTGCTCGTGCTGGGGCTGGTGTTGGATGCCTATTTTGGAAAGTTTTGCTGGGATGGGCATTTTAAAAAATCTGAAATTCGCTTTTGCGCCATTATCTCCTTGTATTAAAGTTAATTTTGTTCGCATTCTGTATAGTTCATGTCTGATACCACGCCAGCGTCACGTGTTCGTGAGGATTAGGTTAATCATCCCATGAAAACATCACAAGTAAAATTAATCATGTTTATAAAGATAAATATGGGTTTGTTATAGCCCACTTACAATTTACATTTCAGAAATCATTACAAATAAATTATTAAATGCTAAAACTGAATAAATTTAAATGAACAAACTTGCCGTTGCATTTGCAACCATGTGAAAACAGGGGGTGCTGTAGCCCCCTCAGCACCCCTAATTCACACGTCCCTGGGTATCTTAAATGTTGGTGTCATATAAGCTTATTTATTAGAATACAAGAAAACATGGGTCAAAAACAATGATCGCAACAACTTTTTTTTTTTTGTGGCAGGGCCAGGGAAAACGTTGGCAGGGCAAGTAAAAAATTGAGCAATCTGAAAAAATCCTTGGTAAAGATTGAGAATTTTCATTTTTGAGTGGATTATCCACCCAAGTATGTAGGTTTTTTTATCTGTTCTATTGTCCACCAGATGGAAATCATATTACACCTCTCCTCAAAAAGCCTCACGATTTGAGGTATCATTCATGTCTACAGCAGAAACGGTGTGGGATGAGCTACATGACAAAGTCGAATACTTCGGGTTAGAGGTTTTTGAGAGCCAGCATATTTTTCGCTCTTCAGTTCCGTCCTCACACTTCAAAGCCGGCTTGTGAAAAATGCATCTAGAAATACGCATCTGGAAGGTGACACACATCCATCAGCACAGCGCATTAGTCAGTCTAATGCTCGGAGATGAAGGGAAGCGAAGTCACTCACATGACCTCCAGACGGGCCGCCTTGGAGTCGTTGCCAGCCTGAGAGATGACATCACAGGTATAGTCCCCGATGTCCCCGGACCAGGTTTGACTGATGTGCAAGGAGCCCTCCTGCAGGCTGATACGCCCCCCTCTGGTCTGGCTCACTAACTCCTCATCCTTTTTCCACACGTACCTGCCAAGTGAAGGAGACGAGGAGCGGAAGAGAACTCTATCACAGTCAAGCTGACACAGGGGGAGCGCAGGAAACAGCGCTGGCTCATTACGCTGATATCCAGCATATTAGCGCCGAATTAACTATACAGCACTACGAATCGCGCTTTGAATCAACTTCAAGGCCTGTGGGCTGACACTCTGAATTAACATTACAATCAAACCGAGTGTGGAGCCCTGGGTTCTGATGTTGAGAAGAGAGAAGGAAGCAGTTTGTCATCACTCACCTCACCGCCACGCGCGGGTCGTGGGTGGCGCCGCACTCCAAAATGGCCGTGGTCCCCTTAATGACACGTCTGTCCATGGGAGGACTGGATATGGACGTGCGACCTTGGAGCAAACACAACACTGTTAATTCTGCACTAGTTCAACATTTCCAAGACCCAAACGACTATGCTTCACTGTTAAACAGCCTCTTCACACGTCAACAGCCGAGTGCGTTTCCCTCCCGCTGAGACAATGCCAGGACTTTACATGCGCTGATCAGTGTGTAATAACAAGTCTGGATGCTGTAGATATCACCTTGCGAAGCTGTGCTAAGAAGCTGCTTTTCATTGGAACAGCTTATCAGGCTCTGCTCTGACTTTTATTTATTTAGGAACGGAAGATTTATGTGAGTTTCGCCTTTGTCCAGTCCAGAACCGCACATTTCCACTGAATTAATGGTGGTCAGTTAGTCACATTATTTTTCCTGTTCATCTGAAATAAAATTATCTGTTTGAATTGATTACTATGAATTGTACTCTTTATTTATCAAACTGATCGTCAGATCATTTTTAATGTGATGTTTTAAAGACAATCAGTATGTTTAAATGCACAGTTAAGGCCTGTTCTCACAAACAATTTGAATCAAAGATTGTCAATGCATCTATTAAGACCAACACAAACATTTGTATGCCATCAATGTGAAAGATTATTTTTGGAGAGATGTTCTATTCTCTTTTCCATCAAAACAAAAACAGCACTGCATTAGGCTTGTTTGTGGACTTATGGAAGTTACATAGCTACATATGGAAGCTTGTTTCTGCCATGAAGAAAATAATGCAAAATGTAATTGTAACTTTTTATCTCACAAATCTGACTTTTTTTTTTTTTTTTTTTTTGCAATTCCAAGTGTATGTCTTGCAATTGCGTGTTAAAATTGAGCAAGCTTGGCTTTTTCTCAAAACTGTGACTTTATATATTTTTTAAGAGATGCCTAATTTTGAGGACAAAAAGATCTGCCTGTATCACAAAATACATATTTAGTTCAAAAATATTTTGGTACATTACATTTTGTATTCATATTAATGCATGGAATCAAATATATGACCCTGGACCACAAAACCAGTCATAAGGGTCAATTTTTTGAAACTGAGATTTATACATCATCTGAATAAATAAGCTTTCCACTGATGTATGGTTTGTTAGGATAGGACAACATTTGGCCGAGATACAACTATTTGAAAATCTAGAATCTGAGGGTGCAAAAAAAATCTAAATATTGAAAAAAAAATAGCCTATAAAGTTGTCCAAATGAAGTCCTTAGCTATGCATATTACTAATCAAAAATTCAGTTTTTATATATTTATCGTAGGAAATTTACAAAATATCTTCATGGAACACTTTTTTTAATATCCTAATGATTTTTGGCAAAAAAGAAAAATTGATAATTTTCACCCATACAATATGTTGTTGGCTATTGCTACAAATATACCCGTGCTACTTAAGACTGGTCCAGGGTCACATATTACATTCACAAAATTAAAATTTTGTTTATGACATTTCATTTACAAAAGGTGCAGGCCAAGATTGGCCATCGGGAGCACAGGGAGAAAATGATTTAGCCTGCTGCCACACTCATTTTCATTCAGTCATTCCTTCCTTCATTTTTAACTAAACTCAAAATTGCGAGATATAAACTCATAATTGCGAGATATAAAGTCAGAACTGTGAGATAAAAAGACTATGCAGGGACAGAAAGCTCTTGGATTTCATCAAAAATATCTTAATTTTTGTTTCCGAAGATGAACAAAGGTCTTACAGGTTTGGAACGACATAAGGGTGAGTGATTAATGACAGAATTTACATTTTGGGGTGACCTATCCCTTTAATTTTTTTTATTCTGTGGTGGAAAGATGGGTTCAGATTAAGTGTGTTTCTCTTACTCCATACGGTGAGGGAGGCGCTGGCATTGATCGCTCCTTCTGAGTTAGCGGCATAGCAGGTGTACATCCCCGTGTCCTGCAGCACCACCGGTTGAATCTGCAGACCGCCGGACTCCAGCAGGGTGAAACGTGGAATTTGCACCGAACCGCTGGCGAGGATCTGAGTATCTGATGTGCATACATATGCAAACAAACACACACACACACACACCAGTTAGCTCAACATTTTGCATCTGCTTCCATATAAGGAATTAATAGAACATCACTATGAATGTCGGACACACAAACACTATGAGTGTCGGAGTCCAGGATGATTTTATTACAAGCTTAAAGGTTTCCCAGAGGAAAATCCTCCTGAAACCGCCTGCAGAGCTCTCTACCTTGTTAGGGGCCACTATTAAATATGCCGCTTCATAATTGGGAATGCTATGGAAACGACTTCATGAATATCGCCAAAACAGTTGTAGAATATAATGGAACTTTGTTTTGTTACTCTTGCATGAAATGATCTTTTGTGTTGCCAATCGGCTGCAACAAAGACATCTTAATGGCTTCCTGTGAAGCACAAAACACACAACCTCATACATCAATTTATGCTTCCGCTGCAGTAACAAAGCAGAGAGGATGCCTGCGATCTGGCTGTAATCAGTAAAATATAGCACTAGTACACATAACAAAACAGCAGGGCCGAGATGGACTCATGTTAATACTGACATTACTTCTGCACATTGATGCTCTGTTCCAAAACCTAGCTAACTGCCTGCGGAGACAACATTTTAGGTAAGCATAGATGCTCTTAATGTGAAGACTGTTCCAAAAAGTAGTCAACTTAATTATGCTGCCTCCTAATAAATCTAATTTTGACCAAATCCTAAAATAGGATTTAAAGTATCCTTAATGTAGAATGCATTGTGACAACAACGGGGGGGGGGGGGGGGGGGGGGGGGGGGGGAGAGTCCAAAACGACATACAAGATCGATGAAATTGTCGTTACAGATAAGCTTAAAATGCATTATGTATTGTAAACACCTTTACATTGCTAAAAAATACTTCTATTTTAAACAAATGCTGTTCTATTTAATAAAAAATCCTGAAAAATTGTATCAAAAGTTTCCACAAAAATATTAAGCAACTTTTTTCAACTGATTTTTAAGAATGTTATGTTTGTTCAGCAGCAAATCAGCGTATTAGAATGATTTCTGAAGGATCACGTGACACTGAAGACTGAATAGAAAAGTTATTTTAAACTGTACTAATATTTCACAATATTACTGATTTTGCTGTATTTAGATATTATGATTGATGAGCATAAGAATTTTTTTTTTAAACATGTTACTGAAACCAAACCTTTAAACATTAGTGTATTTTATGCAAAGGCAATCCTAGAAAAGATTCTGATGAAATAATTCAAGATTATAAATAATTAAAATGTAAATGAACTTATATTTTATTTCGTGCTGAAAAGCATTGACTCAAACTGCTCAGTGCAATTGAAAATGTATGATTTAGCTAATATTCAGGTATGCAGTGTACTTTCATGCCATTCACTTGCCAACACCAAACTCAAGTGAACTCAGTTGCGAGCCAAGTGTCCCCTACATAGGCAGCATGTGGATTTCCAGCCTATGTAGAAGGCTGCAAATTGTATGGATCCAAGACTGAATAGATAAAACGCTCCAATGTAGGCAGCAGGCAAGAAGGCAACTCTATAGGTTTTGGAACAGAGCTCAGATGTGATTTATGCCTTGTTCATTAGTGAATTACAAATGCTAAAACTGCTCAAATCAAACATCACTTTGCACTAGCTTTACCTCTCTTCCAGATGATGGCAGGTTTAGGGGCCCCAGATACCTGACAGGTGAACGTGGCCACCGCTCCATCTGTGACAGTGATGTCGACCGGCGCCGCGGTGAAGGCCGGAGCCATACCTGCAAAACACACAGTCACAGTTTTTAATCAGGAAGAGAAAATGCCACATCCGTTCAGTGGCCCCTCATTCACGCTTAATGCAGTCCGCCCACACACCCCCACAGGAACACGCAAATTATTACAAGAGGCCAAACACCAGCCAGTAAATTGTATTAAAACAATGTTATGTCCATCAAAACACTACTGATGCTTTTTACTGTGATGCGGGACATGTCTGCAAATTTGTGTTTCAAATCGGAGACGGTAAACAACTAGCATGAATCTAATTATACTGTTCTGATTGGGTGCCCAATGTGGCATTGTGGAGTTGCTAGGTCATTTTTAATAGGCAGAGATGTGTAAATGAACAGGTATTTCCATTTGGAAAAGTAAAACATACTGCTGTTTGAGAGCAAAAGATCGCTGTTTGGATGCATTGCTGAATATGTGCCATATTCATTTGGAATAGTAGAGACAGAAATATAAAACCCATTACAGCTTGCTTTCCAATTGCTTTACATCATTTTTATCACATGAATACTGATGCCACGCCGGTAAGGCTGGGCAGTATAACCAAAATTTTATATTATGCTACAAGTAATAATTGTTTTTTTTATCATAGTCACAGTATATAATCACAGTCTAGTATTTTTTTCCAGACTGACCAGTATTTCTATGACTAATACAGATACAGATTATTGCAACCAAGGCTCATTGGAAAAAACATGCTTCTACCTACAGAACAATATATCTGCAAAACTTCAAAACCCTATCTACAATTTACAGCAGTTTCCAGCTAAAATTAAAACTACAGATCACTGATTAATAAAGACTTGATTTCGTGCAGTTCCTAGAACAATATTAAGTCATAACCTGACAAAGCTTTTACCATAGTGCATTAATAGTAAACTAATACATTTTCGCCATTGCATCACATAAACAGTTCCACGTGTGTGGCTTTTCTGACTTCAGTTGGTCTCCTGGTACATAACTGCACTTGAAATGCAGAGTGCTATAAAAGACATGAGTCACGACAAAAAGAGTTCAAAGACTTGTAGAAGCAATCTAAAATGGCCTGGTTGGTTCAGCAAATGCATTTTTACCTCATGTTTGCATTTTTTAAACTACTGCAATACAGTACATACAACAACCAACACAATAACACTGCAACAACCACTGCCAGATTCACATATATCTGTTTTGGATAAAATTGAGCACGCTTTTATTATCGGACATCTAATTTTAAATACTCTGCAAAACGTGCAAGAAGCAAAGAAATACCATTTTGCAAAAAAAAAAAGTTAATTAAACCTCTAGATCTCTTACTTGCATGTATTATGAAGGCATCTCGGCACTATCTTTGCTAGAGCACTTGAACTGTACATCTTGACACAATGTTCGACACTGAAAAATCAGAGGTAGTATGACATTGAAAATCAACACTTTTTAATGCTGCAGTGTTTTTTACGGTGACCCCGTTCACAGGCTCTCTGGGTAGATAAAGGCCTGGTGAGTGATTACATAGCACACTAGCATTCATCCACTGTACTTTTCCTTGATCACTTTAGCATGAAACAGATCTATACAGGAATAATATAGCCAGCAGAAGAACTAACACAGCTTTGATTGAACCACCGCTCAATGAGCGAGTCTAGATATGCACAATCAATATGCAAGAGAGAAGAAGCCAGACTCCATGCGAGATCTTCAGCAAGTGCATTTTTTAATAACTTAAAACTTTCTTTTAGACCTGAAATTAATTGTTTATCTTCATTAAAGGGTCCTTATTCTATGTTTTATTTAAAAAAAAATTTACTTTAAAGTTCAGCTTATTAGTGAGTGTTTTGTGATCTAAAACAGTATATAGGTTTTTTTTAACATACCCTAAAGACTGTAAAACGTTTCCTTTTAGACAAAATATTGCTCTTTTTAATGACGTAGCTTTATTCCCAAAAATGGCCTGTACAATCACAGACAATCGGATGATTCAAAGGTCAATGCAGCTGGAAGTTAAAATCATTACGGCAATCTACATGCAGTAAATATGTGCAGTCGGGGCTGTGGTAATTATCTGTGTGATGAGAGTGCTCCTCTGAGGGGGTCTTAATGTCCTCATGTACGGATCAGGGCAGTGCCCTGACAAACACTACGATGTAATCAACTCCAGACAGGCCTCTCCACAGGGAGCCGTTGCGTCTCTTATGGAAGAGAGTGAGAATCACACAACCGTAGATTAGGAACAACACATCTGTCACGGCGGGGAACTGCTGTACAACGGCTGAGAGAAGGTGCACTTTGCAGCTGGCCACATCTAATACCCTTGACAATGTCTCGATTGTTTGTGTGTCAATAATTAGTAGCATCGAGTCTGGAAAGCGTGCGATAAAGAATGCATGATGCCCCGCAGGCCCGCCTCGGGGTCAGACTCACTAGTGATGTCCAGGTAAGTGTGGACCTGAGCCTCTCCGGCCGAGTTCCTGGCGAAGCACTGGAAGATTCCGGCATCGCTGGGCTGTAGCTTCCTGACCTGAAGCCCCATGCTAGAGATGACCTTGTAGCGAGGGTTGTTGAGTTTACTAAGGGGCACGGCATCCTTATACCACTCCAGCTTCGGCATGGGCACCCCTAGGAATTAAAAGCACAACATGATAGGTCACTATTATGGTCAGATGAAGGTAGGAATTGAACAACTGGGTCCAGAATTTTTCAATAAAATTTTTAATGAAACCTGGAAATAAAATAATCTTTTTTTTTTAAAGAAGTGTTTAATAAATTGAAATGCTTTTTTTTTTAAAGGTCAGAAAGTTATAGAAAGTAAAAAAAAAAAAATATATATATATAAAAATTTTAATTACGTATATAAATACAACAGCATACACTACAACAGACAATATACAAGAACAGTAATGGTATACACAATGACCTGAAGGATATGTGTATTCAATCAAAGAAAGGTTTTCCTATGAATTAATTAGTAGAAAAGTCCATTTCTGCTCTGCCTCTCCTATGGGGACAAAGAGTGGGTTATCCTACTCACATTCCTGGGGGGGTCATAAAACCAGTGATATCATGATTAGTTGTCATGGTGACCAAGGGGGGATGGGGTTCAGCAGAAATCCTGGCATCCAGTTTATTGAGTGAGGGGACTGTGACGATTTGTTAATCTAATGAATAATTGATTTGTTAAATCAAATAAAAATTAGTGTGTCAGATTGGTCGAGACGCTACATTACATATATAAAAATGTAAAGTTAAAAATAAAGTCAAAAGTCAATAAATATTTTCACATTATGGCTGATCACAGACAAAAGGCAGACATTAAAACAGCACATTATTTGTCTAAATAAATTAATAATGATAACTAAATTTAAATCTATTTACATGTCCATTTAAAGGTGAATTTAGGAATCACAACATTATAACGTACAATATAAACAATGGATATCCATTTTGAGATTTACTAAAGATATTTAACAGGATAACTACATTTTAAAGGTACATTTTAAAAATAATCTCAGTATAAAAATAGAGGAATTTAGTATTAAATATCAAATATTCAATACCTACTAAAACCGACAGGCAGGCAGGCAGACAGACAGACAGAAAGAGACAGACAGACAGACAGAAAGAAAGAAAGAAAGAAAGAAAGAAAGAGACAGACAGACAGACAGACAGGCAGGCAGGCAGGCAGGCAGACAGAGACAGACAGACAGACAGACAGACAGACAGACAGAAAGAAAGAAAGAAAGAAAGAAAGA